ATTTCCTCCTTGTAAAAGAAAGGTAGAATGATTCGTGACACACTAAATTAAAAACGAGTGATTCTGGGTGCTGTTTGTGTGTGCGTGTGCGCGTGCGTGTGTATGTGTGCGTGTGTGTGTTTCCCTACACTATGTCTGTTCTCAGCAGATTTTATAGTCTGGAAAGGAAAAGAGACATAGAACAGACAATTACAGGTGTACTGAGTATAGCAAAGGAGAAAGGGTGCTAAAAAAAAGTCTGTAAGAACCCTACCTAATCTCATCTAAATTGGACATCAGATATCCTCCATCAGAGAAGGGAGTTTTGAGAAGGAAATGAGATTTAAACTCACCACTGAAAAGTACGTAGGGATGAAATGGGTGAATGTGTTGGAGTGGGAGGAAATGATATGATGCATGTGCAACGATATGATGACTTGAGCTGGGAATGAACAGAGTATATTCCAGGAAACAACATTCATATGTCAACTCTCCATCTCTTCTCTATCTGTCTCATCTTCACTCTTCCATTTGCTTTATGGGAGACATTTTCAATCTTGTCCTGAATCTAATCAATGTGATGTTCTGCACTACTCTTTTAGTTCTTTCTTGATTTTATTTTATTTTATTTTATTTTGCATTTTGCTATAGCATTACAGATGTCTTTAGAGTTTTCTTAGTTTGGCTATTTCTCTCTTTAAAAAAAATGCCTTTCATCTTACCTTTACCCAGAGATGTATATGAAATAAGTGTTATTTTACCAATATTACATATGAAAAATGAAGGCCTAGTGAGGTTAAATAACTTACTTATAGTTATCCAGCTTGTAAAATCTATAAAGGGCACAGTTGATGCATGACTACTGTAACAGTTACTTTTCAGGGATATATAATTACTAGTTCGGATACATATTAATTCTAACCAGTACCTGTATGTTTCCCCATACTGTCAGAAAGGATACAGTGCCAGATCAATATAATAGTTTAGGGCAGCCTAAAGAAACAAGACTTCCATCCTAGAACTGAAGCTAAATGAATTTTATTTCCTTATTTTATTTTGTTTTACAATTTAAGTTTCCAGAATTAATCCACAAGACTCCCACAAATTAAGTCAATACACTCATTCTTCTGTAGTATCCTGTATATAAACAAAAAAATCCACACCTAAAAATGAGAAGTAATCTTATTCTATAATTATGTACAGCTTTTCTCTAAAAATAAAAATATACTTGTTCCAAAGTTATCATGTTAGAGGAGACTACATTTTCAACGCTTGCAAATTTTGCATTTGCTTCAGATTCCCTGTTTTATCTTAGACATCAGTCTTCACCTAATTTATAAGAATTGTCAGTTCGGGGCACTTGTATGTTTATTTAGTATCACTACTTCTGAAATGGGTTGTGTGTTGTATCTACTGTTCCATAGTAGTCATTGGAAAAAAAAAATCTCAGCAAGAGTTTAAGACTAATTAAGGGAACTAGGGCTGATTGTCAAGAAAAATTCTTTTGATGAGAATGCTAGAAATGAATTACACAGCATTAAATAAAACCTCAGAAGACTATGATGGTGTCAGGGTTATAAAACAGAGGGAAAAAAACAACAGATTGCTGGGATACCAGAAGAAAACACTTCATGTTTGAATATTCATACCAAATGGGCTATTTTGTGGAATCCTTACAACTCAGAATGTATTGTGGTTTGAAAGGAAGGTATCATTTCACTAGTTGTTTACTCTATGGATGCCTCATTCCAACTAAAACATAACTGTTTGCATAACATGTCCTGTTTTACTTTAGAGAAATCCCCAGATGGAATTTCATCAAATATGATAAAATGCTGGACTTATTCCTCTTTAAATCTCGAGGATAGAATCTGTACTTACCCTCTTCAGATCTTGGAGAAAAAGAGCTTTACTTAAGTATATCTAAAGCATAATTTATTTTGTAGTTCTTTGATTTTGTATTTTTTCTATCATTCCTAGAGGACTTTTGGTTTTTTAACCAATGAATATATTTCATGGAATTTAAAATTTTTAAGTAAATTATTTTAGAGTTTAATAAAAGCAAACTAAAAATTGCTTATACCATTAATCAACGTCCATCAGCTGATAGTTATTACACATGCCACTTTGTATATGATATGGGTGATCTAAAAGGGCTTGACCTCCAGGAAGCTGCGTAGATGAAGCATGTGACTAAAGTTGAAAATGTAGAAAATGATGAAGTGCTAAAAACAGGGTAGGACTCAGGATAGTTCGGGGAAGTGAAAGATTGATGTGTATTTACTCTAGACATGGGATTGAATTAGGACTTTAAGGATAATTATTAGAGGAAGTGATTAGTCTAGGTAAAGGAAATAATGAGTTAGGCCCCGTGTTTCAGCGAATGTGTCACATTAAAGAGAAAGCAATTATGCTTAAAGGGAGCAAAGGTTTGCATGGTGAAAAGCAGCAAAATATAAAGTTGGGAAGGCATGTTGACTAAAATTTGGTGGATCAAGAAAGCAAGGAGTATAAGTTTGACTTGCTATTAAGACAATAAGAGAGCCATTGTCAGCTCTTGAGCAAAAAATGCATAAAAATATGCTTATAAATTATAAAATACAAAGGTTGATAAAAATAGATTTATGTTGATTAAAATAACAAAGAAGAGAGAGAAGCAAAGATGACCTAAAGTTATAGAGTAGAAGACTATTCAGTTTCTTGAAAAATAATTCTTAACTTTGGCAGTGTACTACATGTGTGAGTTTACATTCCACTCATAGATAATGCTTATAGAGGAAATGTATTGCTGAATTCTTAATTAGAATTTGGAATTTAACTTGTCCCCTCTTATGTTACATAACTTTGTAAATGAATTGGCAATTCTTATCAGAAATATCAACAAGTTACTGTATATTTACTGGCTGATTCTTGGATTCTTGGCATTGTTAAAAGAACTCTGGGAATTTTACAAAACAGACACACCTGGACAATGTCTAGATAAGTCATATCAAACATAGATATAAGACCATTTACCTTTGTCTGTCAACAAACTTACCTCTCCTTCAAGAATGAATTTAAATATTACCTTCTCTTTGAGCACTTACAAATATCCCAGAAAGAAATGGCTACATTTCATGAATTTTTAAATTCCATCACATTTTTTATTGTATCCTTTTAATGGTATTTAGTATTATGTAGTGTTTTTGTTTTTCTGATCTTCACTGAGTGCAATATTAAGACCTACACTGGTATAATTCACTTCATAGATGATGTGTATCATTTAGATTATAAGCACTTTGAGGATACATCAAGAGCAAAAGCAAGAGATGCTGTTTAATGAATCCTTGCGTGACTATTCGCAATAATTATTACCTTTTAATAAAGTGACTAGCAGAGGGAGTAATCAATGTTTCCTTTTTTCAAAAGGAAGGTCACAGTTTCAAAGTATTATTTTGGGGAAAATTATTCTTCCATGTGTGAACATGTACATACTCAAAGTAGTCAGCACACTCCCTAGTATATATTTGACACTCAATAATATTTGATTTTTTTTAGTATATAATAGGTTATACTCTGAAAAGTAAACAATGAAGAAACAAAAGAGGCAAGGAAAGTGCCCAAGGTACATGGTCAGGAACGGTAAAGCATATAGGTAGGTCTAGATCAATAGGAGGAAAGAATGTATCTTAATACAACGTATGAAGATCCATTAGAGATTTTCACGGAACCAAGTGTGTTCTAAGTGGCATGGAATGACTGTAAGTATTAATGAGGTGGAGGAGAGGTAGAGAACATCTAAGATATCATAATAGTTCTTCATAATCAATGCATTATTGTAACATATTGCTGGTAATATAAAAAGGTAAATTATCTCCAGACTGTTCATTTTTTAAAAGTTTAAACTATTTGAGTATCAAATAGTCCGTATAGTCTAATATTCTAGGAATTCACAATATGCATAAAATGCATAATGTAGTTTCTAAATGAAACCATATGCCAACTGTTGGAGTGAGAAAGGTTGTCTGGACTCCATGACTTCTTTGCTTAGCTTTCCCCTGGTACATATACCATGCTAAAATTGTCAATATCTTCTCTGAGACTATATGAAGGAAAATGGTAGAAGAGGAAGCTAAATGTTTACTGAGGATTTACCAAGTGGAATAGGGTCTGGGTTAGACATTTCATATTCTTTATCTCATGTTAATCTTCATAACAAGTTTGTAAGGTTGATGTTACTACTCATCTTTTATAAATGAAAAAAAAAAAAATCAAGGCTTGGACAGGTTATGAAATGTGCCTAAAGCTCCCCAGCTGTAAGTGGCAGAAGTGGTACTCAATGCCGGAGCCCAAGTGCTTTCTACCACATTGCACTGTCCTCACTCATAAAATGAAAACTGACTGACAAATGAAGTCAAATCGTTATTTTACCTATATTTTAAAAAACATTTCAGTTATTTTTTGTTTACTAAATAAATCGGAGGGCCGATGGTAGAGAAAGACGTCTTCCAGACTGATGCAAAAAACAACCTGAATTGAAATGATGCTAAAAAAAATAAATTTTCTGCTTTCTCAATCACAGTTTCCTGCACTGAGAGATTACTAAAATTTTTTAACATAGAAAACATACTTTACAGTATAGAAAAGCATATGGAGGTAAAAATAAACTGGGTATTGATACTACAAAATTGAATGCAAGTTTTATTGGATGATAAAAGGAGTTAGTTGAGGATAGTCTAACCTTGAAAGATTTAAAGCATTGGTGTGTCAGAAGAGTACCTGGCATATTGTAGACAATCAATACATTTTTTGTAGAATAAATTATAAAAATGTAATCATATTACCTTGTAATATTCACATTAATTGAGAGTCCAGAGCAGATTGGTAAATTTTAACTTTTTGCTAATTAGAAATACCAGAGTATATCTTAATAAAAATATCAAAGCAATTATGTGTGGATTGTTGCATTTTGTACTTCTTTAAGATAAGCTTAAATTAATCACGAAGAAAATGAATCAAGTGCATTCATATTTCTTTTCTAGTGCTCAGCCTCTTGTGGTAAAGGTAGAAAGTACCGTGAAGTGTTTTGCATTGACCAATTCCAAAGGAAATTAGAAGACACAAATTGCAGTCAAGTACAGAAACCTCCAACTCACAAAGCCTGTAGATCTGTCAGATGCCCTTCATGGAAAGCCAATAGCTGGACTGAGGTATATGATGTATATTTTATAATTATATATGTATTTTTTGTATTTAAAAAGAAAATCTTAATTCATTCTTATTTTTCATAACCTTTAATGTTTTACTTCTCTAAAATGTATTGTTATGTACTTTTTTGCACTATGCTTTGTTAGTATTAATACTAAACAGTGTTAACACATTTGCTAAGTTTATAGTTAAATAATAAATCAGTCATTTGATTTTTAAAAAAATTAATACAGGGTCTTGCTATGTTGCCCAGGCTGTTGTTAAACTCCTGGACTCAAGCAATCCTCCCATCTTGGAGGATTAGCTAAGACTCTTGGATTTTAGCTAAGATTGAATCCTGGAGAAGGGACTGGTAAATTCCAGATGGGATTGTAATCAGAGATTGAGAGTTAGGGAGTTGTCAGAGATAGATAGCCTAGGCTGTGCTAGAATGAAAAGACTCCCCCAAAATGAAAAGACTCACCAAAATGAAAAGACTCACCAAAAATGAAGTTGATAAATAAATGAGACCCAGGCTGACAATTTAGCCTGTAAAAGAAGGGTAATTGATACCACTTGGCATACTCAGAGAAAAGAGATCAAAATTTAAATTTGGGTAGGCATGCATTTGAAAATGACTGTCAAACACCACCAGCTTGGGAAATATTGAGAGGACAAAAGCCATGAAAGAAGTCAGAAAAGATAGCTGGAATAATTTCCTAAGGACTGATTTCAATGGGGCTAGACTTTCAACGTAGCCATCTGGCTGCTCTCAGCAGTACCTCAGAGAGCTTATCTATTTCTTAAAGGGCCTAGTCCTGCAAAGGGAAAAAGAAAGCCATCTTCTCATCGTGGAACTTCCTTATCTCTGTCAGATGTTTGAGTTATGTCTATTGGGGAGCTAGAAGGAAATGGAGTTTCCCCTGGGGTCCAAAGTCATCATCATTCTCTCTTTGCACTCAGCATGTCAATGCAGGGCACGCAGCTTTGGAGTGGAATTACGTCAGTGCCTCACTGATGCTGAATAAAAGCCTCCCAAATTGAGTAAAAATCTCAAATGTCTTTGTAGAAGAGGCAGCCTCTGTCAAGTGTTCATGTGCTGCGGCTTATGGTCAAGAAAACTAGAGGCTAATGTGTCTGTTTTTTATCCCACAAAAAAAGATGTATTATTGGGCATTTGCTTCTATATTGAATGTTCATCAAATCAATCAATTATTTTTCATGTTTTACCAGATGTCATGATTTAAAAGATTTCTCTATTAACTTGTTTTATTTAGTAAATGTCACTACTCCCTACTAAGTTGTTCAAGAAAGAAATACTGGATCCATCCTTATCCTTTTTCCTTTCCTCCATAGTTAGTCACTCAACAGATTCTCTCATTTCTCATTCAAGTAGCTCTTGAATCTCCGTTGCACCCACCCCAGTCTAGTTTAATAGTTCATCATCATCTGTTCCCGAGCCTATAATGGCCTCTCTACATACATTTTGACCATTATTTACATTCATATAGTGTGAGCTCAGAAGAACTCAGATATGCTTGTGTTGCTTAGTAGCATCTGTGACTAAGCATTATCTTTAGGGAGTAAGACTAAAACCTAACCCATGCTCACTTGTTCAGAATTATCTCAGACCAGTTTCTCTTTTTCTCTTGGCGACAATGGATATTTTGTTTCCTAAGCACCTACCTAAGCTAAATACTTCTTGCTTCGAATACTGTGATCTAATTGCAAAAATACTCACCATCTCTTAAATTATTATGTTTCTCATATTATGGTTTTACTTAAAGTGGAGGTTTGCCTTACTTGATCTGGATAGAGGTGTGGCAGGATAATGGCAAAGTAGCTTTCCCCTAAGGTTGTGAAACATCCTAAAGGCACTGAACATGAACGGCCAGAGATCTGTCCAGCAGTTAACTCCCAGTTCCTACATCAGGCAGGAGCCACAGGGACATGGGAGTGGAAGTGGGAGAGACTTTTTGTGTCTTGGCCACCAATATTCCTGTTGGCCCCAAAGCTTCTGTTCCTGCTGTGCAGCTGCTGTAGCTGCTGTGGCTGGTATTCATGAGAGACACTTTCTATCTCTGAACCTCCAGCTCCACAATAGTGAATCCATCATCCGTGGTAACAAATTGGCCTTGGCTTACCACTGAATATGAAATTACACAAGATCTGCTAAAGGAATGTATTTCAGGGGCTTCAAAAATACAAATATGAATGTTTAAGAACTATAAAAAATAGATGCTTTTTTTAAAAACATAATTTGCTTTCTTCTCTTTGAATTGGTTTTCCTTGTCATAGAAATTAGTTGCATTCACCCACACAGTCCTCACATCTCTGCCAGAAACAGATGACCACTTGTGAAGTCATTGCCTTTTGATTTATTCTATAAAAAGCATCCAGACGAAGTTAACAATTGCAAGCTGTCATTGCACTACATATAATAATGTATTAAACAGAAGTGTACTTTCAGAGGTAGTTACAAGATAATCACTGGTTGCTGCTTTATTCCAATTGTATGAATTGTCACATTGCTTTAATATAATCACACTTAAAATAATTTCATTTTATTACTATTTTACATGATGCCTCAAATGGAAAGACTCATTTGGTAAATTTTGACCACAGAGATGCTCAAATGAGTTTTGAAGGAACACTCTTCATTTGATATTTGTATCTTTTTGTTTAACGAAAGGATTTAGTAATGCATTTTAATGACTGTTGCTAAACAGGAACAAACGTTGCTATGCAGGACCATTTGTCCTCTATGTTCAGATGTATATCCTCAGATGCAAATTAAATACTTGAATCATTTAAAACGCACACACACACCCCCCACCCCCACTTCCTGGAAGCAAGGGGATTTTTTCAATTTAATTTTATCTATTTGGGAATGGCAGCTTCACTTGTAAATTCAAGTTTTTAAAGCTAGTATAGTTCTAGATTCTTCATTGTCTCACATCCCATCTGCTTACTTAAGTGCCATCCAAATGCACAATCTCTATTTAGGAAAAAAAAATATTCCAAATTCTCACCTCCCCTTAATCATGGCAAACCTGCTGGACCATTTAGGTGCCTAAAGAATCTCACACAACAATATTCAGTATAGAATCAGGTTAAATCAGCCTCTTGGCTGCTTACACCTTCTTTGAGACCCATCATTTTCTTTTTTTTTGTTTTTTATCTTGAAATAATTTTTTTTTTAAATTATACTTTAAGTTCTAGGGTACCTGTGCATAATGTGCAGGTTTGTTACATATGTATACTTGTGCCATGTTGGTGTGCTGCATCTATCAACTCGTCAGCGCCCATCAACTCGTCATTTACATCAGGTATAACTCCCAGTGCAATTCCTCCCCCCTCCCCCCTCCCCATGATAGGCCCCGGTGTGTGATGTTCCCCTTCCCGAGTCCAAGTGATCTCATTGTTCAGTTCCCACCTATGAGTGAGAACGTGCGGTGTTTGGTTTTCTGTTCTTGCGATAGTTTGCTGAGAATAATGAAGGATCTAGAACTAGAAGTACCATACGACCCAGCCATCCCATTACTGGGTATATACCCAAAGGATTATAAATCATGCTGCTGTAAAGACACATGCACACGTATGTTTATTGCGGCGCTATTCACAATAGCAAAGACTTGGAATCAACCCAAATGTCCATCAGTGACAGACTGGATTAAGAAAATGTGGCACATATACACCATGGAATACTATGCAGCCATAAAAAAGGATGAGTTTATGTCCTTTGTAGGGACATGGATGCAGCTGAGACCCATCATTTTCTTACTTACATTTTAAGATCAGAGCCGGGACCAAGGTGATATAAATTCCAAAATCCCACAAATCTGCTGCCCAGTGCTCCCAACCCAAAGCCCCTAATTTGGAGAAAAAAAAAAAAAAAAAAAAAAAAGAAACTGTATGCTAAATGCTAGATGTTTAAGAGATTTTGTATTTCTGTAATTCCATATTGTGTAATTTCAAAAATACGTAAGTATAAATCTTTATTTCTATATTTTCAGAATTTCTGACATATATGTATATGTTTTATAATTTGAAAGATAGTAAATGTTAATTTTTTAAGTCCCTAAAGCTCCTAAGAATCTGTGATCCCTTCATTTGTAATGTCAGTGACATTTCTACTAGTGAAGGTAGACTAGAGTTCAGGGACAGGCAGGATGCTTTCCTGCTTCCAGCACTGGGTAAACTTTGCTTCCTAATTTTTTCTAGCTAGTGAAATTCTGTTTTTCATTTCAATGCTGTCTGTTAGTGCTCCTCCTTTATCACCTTTCTTGATATTTAAAGTGACCTTTCTTGGGGTAGGCTGAGGTGACGAGCACTCTAATGTAAGGCATTTATCAAACTTTTCAAGGCATAAATAGTTGAATCTCCATAACAAAAGTAAAAAATGAGAAGAAGAAGGGAGCAGCAAGGGACACTTCCTGACACCATATAAGAGTTTTTATTCCCCACAAATGCAGGTATTAATATGTGCATTAGGCAGATGAAGAAACAGCAGCTTATAGAAAGGTTAAGAAGCTTCCATGGAATACTATGCAGCCATAAAAAAGGATGAGTTCGTGTCCTTTGTAGGGACATGGATGCAGC